CTGACGAGGTCCCAGATGGACGACGCTGTCTCCTGCCAGTTGCCCATATGTGCGTATGTTTTTCCAACCTCATATTCCTTCCTTCATTCCTCCTCCTCTTCCTCCTCCTCTTCCTCTGCGCTCCTTCATCAATTTGGTATCCTGCTACTCGACCTCGTCACCTTACCCCGCACTACCCGCCTCCCCCTCTTTCCCTTATCCTCAGCATCATCATCTCTTCTCCTCCTCCTCATCCTCCTCCTCCTCCTCCTCCTCCTCAGCATCATCATGCGCTTCCCATCCTCTCTCCTGCTCATGCTCCTCTTCCTCGTGCCCCATATTTTGCTCCTGCTCTTTCGCAAGATTAATATCCCTTTCCTCCTCCCTTGTCCGTTATGAGATCCTCCTGCTTCATCATTATTCATCATCCCGATGACATCCACGTGGTAGCGGATTTGTAGTCGTCCTTCGATTGTCATTCCTCCTCTTTCTCCCCCTGCTCCCCCTCCTCGTCCCCCATCCCTCTTCTCTTCTCACCGTCTCTCCTCCCTCCTCCCTCCCTCCTCTCTCCCTCCCTACCTCCCTCCTCCTCCCAGTGGCAGGCGCCGGCAGCGCCTGTCCACGCCGCCAGTCCGCCACTAAGGGGTCTCCGGAGGGCTGGAGAGGCCAGGGACCCAGGGCAAGGGGGGGGGAACGAGCAAGCAGGGACGACGGGCGGAGGACCACGAGTTGCGAGAGGAATCTCCTGGCCTCCGGGGGCCTCCGCAGACTTCCTACTGAAAGTCGCAAGGGCGTGTGTGGGGGGTGGGGGGCGGTTCAGGATTGGGCAGGGAGGGAGGAGCGAGGAGTCCACTCGCTTTCTCTCCTTCGTCCTCTTGTTTTTCCTCCTCGTGTCGCCCCTCCGTCGGTCTCCCTGGATCTCGGGGAGCGCCTCCCCCCTTTTGGGTTGAGTTCCTGCCAACGTGTACACGCGCGCCCTCTCCCCCACCCACCCCCCGTTAAGCTCTCTCGCGCGGGTGGAGAGAGGAGGATGAGGAGGAATGCTTGCGGCCCGAAGCCCAAAGGGGGAGGTCGAGGTGAAAAAGGGGGAGTACAAAGAAGACGCTGGAACAAGGACCACGTCGGGCTCAGGAGGGGCTCTGGCTATAGGGCCGTTCCTTGGGGGAACCTGTTCGTGAACGAGGCCCGCCGTGGCCAGAGAAGCCCCTGAGGGGAACGCCATGACTGTGGGAGGGGCACTAACGATACAGGTCAGAAGCTGGAGTTCGCCCAGCGTTAAACAAAACAAGTAGGAGGAGCGGCGCGGGAATGGGGGAGGCAGCGCGGGAGGGGGAGGCCGCGCGGAGGGGGGGGGGGGGGAAGCTCCTAGCTCTCCCACGGCTACAGTTGCGCGCAGAGGCGCGCGCTTCGCGGTCTGGGCGCCCGCCTGTTGTGCGCAGCGCGTGTCGCGCGGCTTCGGGCGGCGTGGGGCTGGGGCTGGAGGCGGGGAAGGGCAGGATGAGGCGAGAGGGGTAGGGAAAGAGTGGACGGAGGAGAGGGGAGGGAGGGGGCCAGGAGGAGGAGGAGGAGGAGGAGAAGGAGGAGGAGGAGGAGGAGGAGGAGGAGGAGGAGCCGCGAGAGGAGGAGCATCAGCAGGAGGAGGAGGAGGAGGAGGAGGAGGTTGAGAGGAGGAGGAGGAGGAGGAGGAGGAGGAGGTTGTGCTGTTCGCTGACACCCTCCTCGCGCGTCTGCTGTCGCGCCGCGCCTGGCGTCTTGCGGCCGTCCTGTGGGCGATTGGCGCGGTCGGGAGTCAGCGCCCGGGCCTGTTGGCCCAGCGGCGCGTGTTTCCCCTGTTGCGTGAAAGGGCCCTCGGTGCCGGAAGCATGTTCTGTTGCCTGGAGGCAGGTGTGAGAGAGCCACGGTGCGCTGGACAGTTAACTTCTTAAGCCACGAGCGTCGCCCATGATAGGAGTACGATTCGTTCGGAGCTAGCGTGATCGGAAACCAGGCTGGACCCACCAAGAGTGTAAGCAGCAATTGAGGAGAGGAGGAAGAGGAGGTAATACGCTTGACTCCATTTGTCGCGCCATCTTGAGGTGCCAGCTGCTGGAAATACTTGTTACACCACGGCCTGTGTACCTCATGGACGAGATCACGTCTGACCTCGACATATTCGCTCGTGAGGGTCCCTTCACTATCCTGTCCTGTGAGCTGCATGGCTTTCATTACATCGTTGGATTCGCATTTGACCTCAATGCGCTTACTCTGGCGACGCATGGTCCTCGGTTCAAGTCCGCGCTGCGAATCCAGTTCACGCCACAGCTTCAGTAGTCATGTTGGACCTGCTGCGCGCAGCATGAACATGGAGTTGCACTTACGTTCAAGTTGCAAATGGCAGTCCAGCGTGTGTGTGTGGTATACATGATAGAAATCAATGACGGGACCTTGTCGTTGAAGTTCAAGGGTCCGCAATGTCTGGAGGCATAGCCACGGTTGCTCTACATTGTCCACGGGTGTCGCAGTGGGTGCACACATGTTCAGATGTATCGCGCCAGATCGTTCTGCAGGTATATTGGGTTTCTTGAAGGCTGAGTCCGAGCAGGACACCGTTTGAAGGGGAAGCACGAAGATGGTGCCAAGACGTGCGAAGATTCTGCGCACGTCAGACCTTGGGGTCAGCGACTTGTGGTTTGGATATGATTTTGACGAGGTGCAGCATGAAATAGAGAGGAGGCAGGGCGGGATACGTGTGCATTAGTTTGCGCACAACAAGTTTGCACAACAAGTATTGCGGGCAATTGAGTTGGTGTGCGAAGCAAAGTGGGAGAAATGGCAGCGTCCTTGTGCGCAATACCCAGCGCTGTTGCACAGTGCTGGCGAGCAACTCAAGCAGGACAGACCGGACAGTCGACGTCGATTGGTTACGAATAGCGGTGTTTGTGATGATGGTTGAGGGCCCATGTCGACGACGGCATGCAGCACAGTCAGTATGGTAGCTACACTTCAGTTTGGCGCGAGGGGGAGCTCAAGACATGGCACGACACAATACGAAGAGGCCAGACAAGGAAAGGGAAACAAGTGGGAAGGATGGCCCCACAGCACAAACTTTGCAGCAACATGGGAGTCGGCCAGTGGAATCCTAGAGACGGCACCTTTGATGAGCTCGGAAAGGTGGTAATCTGTTCACCGCTTTGATACAGGTCGCAAAACAGTAGTCCACAGCGCGGCTGCACAATCTTCTACTGCACGCACATATTCGACGAGCTGGAGGCTTGGAGCTTGGATGCGCTGCTCTCTCTGGCATGAGCAGCAAGAGCAGAGCGGATCTCCCATGGAGCGCGCAAGGTGATCCACTGAAAATTCCACGCATGCTTCTCGTTTCGGCCGTGTCTGTCAACAGCTCTGGAGATCCCTGGCTGTCTTCAGAGGTAGCCAAAGGTCCCCAGGTCCACACAGAGTCAAACATCAAAGCCGTAGTGTTTGTTATGCATTGTTTTGCCGATCGGCGCGGGCCCTCGCGCCCCCCCCTTCCCCCCCCCTAAGTAGATCTTGGCTGTTTTGGGCGTCTGTTTCGAGCAGGTGGAGTCTCTCCCATAGGTCGCACTGCTGCACACGGTCAAATTAAGCAGAGGTCCAGAGCCAGACCTCCCCCCCCTTCCGCCCACTGTCGAAACACCGACTAAGAAAACGCTCACAAACACAAACTCGATCCTTGATGCTCCGCGATTCTCGAATCAAGCCCAACAGCGTCGCTTTGAGAAGGCGTCTGTCGCCCTCAGCACTTCTCCCTCCCCTTTGAAGCTGCAGCCAGTTGGAACGAAAGGACGGCGATAGCCTTCCCAGCACGTTAGCATCATGGAAACCGACGGTCAGCCCCTGGCAGTCTGGCCCCGCAGGGTGGTATGCCCCCCGCGTGGGCTGCAATGTTGGCCGCCGTGTTGCACAGCGTCTGGCCATGCCATCTTGCCGCCTCCTCCCCATTCGGTGTTGCCAGAAGTGATCGTGGCCAAAGGTGCCCCACCTCGTCGCGCCATGCTCGGGCCCCCTGGGGCCCTCTGGGCCTCGTGAAGGTCTTTTGTTGGAGGCCGCCTGGGCCGCCCCGAGAATCCTGGAGACACCCTGGGCCGGGGACACCTCTGGCGTCCTTCGCGACGGCGGCCCCCGACGCACGCCAGTTTTCTTTTCCACACCTGCCCACCCCCCCGACTCGCCGTGCAGGTGTCGCAGAGCCGTTTGTGGGCTCACGGGCACCCAGCCCCCCACCCGCGCTGCTCCACAGAATCCACAGGGGTTCTTTTCAAACACATGCCAAAGATAGCACGACAGAAAGTTTGACAAACGAAGCTTTCGGCTCATCCCGCCACCGTGATCGGGTCGTGGACAGGAGGTCTCTACGATAGTTACCTCTTGGAGCCTCTTGGAGGCCCAGTGATTGCCTCGTGGGGGGGGGGGAGGGGGGGAACAGTGAATTCGAGAAAACCTTGTCTTGAACGCACGACAACAAGGTTGCTCAATCAATGACGACTGTGACCCTGGGGGCCGCCCCCCGGAGCCTCCCAAGATGGCCCAGGAGACTCCCATGAGAGCCCTAGGACGCCCTCTTGGGGTCTCCATAGGCCACGCGGGCACGCGGGAAGCGTGGGCCCCCAACCACGCTCCCGCGCTCTCTGGGAGGGTCGCGCGCGGAGCCCCGAGGGCGCCAAGAGGCGGTCGGGCATTCGGCAATCTGGGAGGCCCGGTGTCCCTCGGAGTATCCGCAGCGCTCCACGTGGAGGGCTCTCTGCGCCACGGGTGCAGCGGGCCCTGAGGTTTCTCGCCGTTTTCAGCCTCCCGGGGCCCTCCATCCGCCCCGGGAGTGTCAGAAAACGGCTCAGGATGAAAAGTAGGGGGCCACATGCGAACCCTACCCTTATACCCCCGACGAGTTCTGAGGGGGAGGATGGGGTTCACTTCGCTCGGGAGCCCCCGAACGAAGTGAACCCCACCCTACCCCTCAGAAATCGTGGGGGTTAGGGGTAGGGTTCGCATGTGGCCCCCTAGAAAAGTCGTCCTGGGGGACGCCCCCAGGGTCCAGGACCCGTTTCCCTCGGGGCCCGCTTCCCCCATGGTAATGTTTGAGGGGTTCAGGGCATTCCAGCCATCGTCTCGCGATACACCGGCAGACATCGAGTGTTTGAGTCGGGCATGTCCACTACAGGAGGAAGATGCAAGAGTGGTAAAAAACAGTCCGGGGACGATGCCACGTGCTCTTTCGATTATGTTTGATGATTGTTTGGCTATCCTTCTTTTCAAAAAATCCGCCTGTAGGTGGACATGCCCGACCAATTGTGATAAAAAGTGTGATAAAAGTGCGATTGCAAAAACAAGTGTGATGAATCACACTTGTTTATCACACTTGTTTTTTATCACACTTTTTTTTATCACACCTGTTCAAATCTTGTGGCCTTCGCCACTGTGCCTGGGTCGTGGGCCAGCGGCCTCCTGGACGTCTCTCTCGGGGCCTCCCGGGGGTGGCTGCGCCTGGGCCTCTCTGGAGGCCTCTGCGGGGCCTGGGCCTCCTTTGGGGGTGCCCGCGGAAAGCCACGACGACCTCAGACTTTATGATGTTCCCGCGCCTGCTGCAGCCTTGATCACGAACAAGAACTTCGAGCACCGATGCCTGGGCCCCCGCCTCCCGAGCGGGGCAGGACGTGGGATCACCGTGGGATCCCCGCTGCTCACGCGGCAGGGATGCTCCCGGTCGCCCTTCGGATCCTCGGGCTCGCCCGCGGGGGCGCGAGGATGGTGTCGTCTCCCTCGGCGCGGCTCGTGCCCGAGCGGCGGCCCTTCTCCGGAAGGGGGGGCGGCGCGAGGGCGCGGAGACTGGAACGTGTACATCACCAGTGGCGGGCTGCTCTTCAATCCCAGGACTTCTTGAGGGTCGAGGACGACGCTGGCGTGGTGTGGTGTATACTTGTTCCCCGATGTCCCGGGGAAAAAACGAACAATTTATGCAGCAGGGTCCCGTATACACCAGGATCCGCTCTCCAGTGCAAATTCCAATGCAAGGCCGGAACAAGCGTCGGTGTATGGAGTTCGATTCCTTACGAAGAAGTGTGGCCCAGGACCTTCCGGGAGAAAGCTGGCAACGCTTATGGTGTTCCAACCTACTTGAGCCGTGATCACGACAAAGAGTTTCGAGCACCAGGAGAAAGTACCGGAACTCGAGGTGTTTCACGTGTCGGGCCCCGGGAGACTCGTCCGACGCTGTTTCGATGCTCCTTCGACACTCTTTTGACATTTTCCCGGGTGCTCGAAATGGATGTGGTCCCTAAGTCCGATGGGAGCAACATAACATCAGACTAGATCAGAGCATCAGATCAGCCATGATTGTGCGTACCAGGAGAATCAGGAGGGGACAAAAACACACCGACACAGTTCATCGCCGCCAGGGGAAAACATATGATAAAAGGGGAAATGGGGGGAAGACGAAAACCCCGAAAATATTAGAAAATGAGGGGGATCCTGGGATGTGTGTCTATCTATGTGTGTCCCTGAGCCCATTTTAAAGAACGCAATGTATAGACTGTCCGCGCCAGCCGCAATATCCGCTAGTATCCTGAATGCTTGTAGCACGGTCGGCCAAAGAAAGACATGTTGGAGGGCATCTTGGGGGCCTCCTGGGGGGCATCATTTTGGGGACACCCAGGGGACTTCCAGGGGACTTCCTCAGGGCCTACCAGCTGTCTCGGGGTCCTGTCGGGGTGGAGGGCAGCTCGAGTTCCTCCTCTTGGGGTCCCTCCCGTGGCCCCCGCCGGGGTGGCTCGGGGGCCGTCTTGAGGGCATCTCGAGCTGTCTTGGGGCGCCGGGAGCTAGAAACGGCGAGAACGCTAACAAGAATCCCATAGAAACCTCAGGATTCACAATATGAGTTGTACCTCTTGGGGCCCTCGTTGGGGACAGGATCCCTCTTGGGCCGTCTTGGGGGTCTTTTGGGCCGCATCGGGGCCACGTTCGGCCATCTTGGGGCGCTCTCGAGCCGTCTCGGGGGCCCATGGGGAACGCCTTGGAGCCCTCTTCAGGCCCTCATTGGAGCTCTCTGGTCCCTGGGGGTGCGTCACGCAAGAGGCCCTCGGAGCGCGCGGCCGCGCCCGAGAGCGCCCGAGCATTCGGCGAATCCGATGTTCAAGGCAACTGGGTTCGTGTTTTCTTAGGACACCCTCAGCACAGGAACCTCCCTCCAACTCTCCGCCTCACTCACGCATTCACCCCGTCATCGGTCAGCATCACCATCGGTCATCATCATCACCATCACCATTATCATCAGACTCAGTCACTCACCATCGATCACCATCAGCATCGGCCATCGATCGTCATCATCATCAGCATCACCACCACCGCCATCATCATCATCATCATCATCATCATCATCATCAACATCATCATCATCATCCTCATCAGCATCAACATCATCACCACCACCACCATCACCATCATCATCATCAGCAGCATCATCATCATCATACTAATCATACTCAGTCGCACATCGCACACACACACACACACACACACACACACACACACACTCTCTCTCATCACTCAGCATCAGTTTCCGTGGACACCCCGCGCAGGAACATACACATTTGCACATCACACACATTTTCTCTCATCACTCAGCATCAGCAAGCGGGAGCCTCGTCTGTGTGTGTATTGTGAGGAAGTCTCAGGCGGGAGCCTCCCTATGGGGCCCGCATTTTATGTTGGTAATCCGAGCGGGTCATCCTCGAACGTGTAACTGTCGTCACTTTTGGGCTCCTGAGGCCTGAATATGGGGAAGTATCAGGCGGGAGCCTCGTCTGTGAGTGAACTGTGAGGAAGTCTCAGGCTGGAGCCCCCTTCCTATGGGGCCCGCATTTCATGTTGGTAATCCGAGCGGGTCATCCTCGAATTTGTACCTGTCGTCACTTTTTGGCTCCTGAGGCCTGAATCTGGGGGAAGTATCGGGCGGGAGCCTCGTCTGTGAGTGAACTGTGAGGAAGTCTCAGGCGGGAGCCCCCTCCCTATGGGGCCCGCATTTCATATCGGTAATCCGAGCGGGTCATCCTCGAATTTGTACCTGTCGTCACTTTTTGGCTCCTGAGGCCTGAATCTGGGGGAAGTATCGGGCGGGAGCCTCGTCTGTGAGTGAACTGTGAGGAAGTCTCAGGCGGGAGCCCCTTCCCTATGGGGCCCGCACCTCTCGTGCTTCCTCCGGGTCGGCCTCCAGCGCGCGCTTCCTTTGGGTCGTCCTCTGGCGCGTATCTGGCGGGACGCACGTCGTGCGCTTCCTCTGGGTCGTGTTCCGCACGAGGAGGAGGAGGAAGGAGGAGGAAGGAGGATGCAGGACGAGAAAGAGAAGCAGGAGGAGGAGGAGGAGGAGTAGGAGGAGGAAGCAGAGGGCGAGAAGGACGAGGAGGACATGGAGGAAGAGGAGTGCCCTAGGAGGCCCCAGGATGTCCTGGGAGGCCCAGAAGGCTCCAGGAGGCCCCAAGAGGCCCCAAGAGTCCCCAGGAGGAGGCAGGAAGCTTGAGGAGGAGGCAGGAGGAGGGCGAGGCGGAGAAGGAGGGGGGGAAGATGGAGACGAGGAGGAGGAGGAGGAGGAGGAGGAGGGAAAAGGTAAAGAGGAAGATGGAGGAGGAGGAGGACGAGTAGGAGGCAGGAGGACGAGGTGAGAGGGAAAGCAGGCAGGAGGAGGAAGAGGACGCAGGAGGCAGGAGGAGGCATGGGGAATGGGGGGAGGAGGCATGGCGAGGCGGAGGAGGAGGAGGAGGAGGAGGAGGAGGACGAGTGAGAGGGAAAGCAGCAGGAGGAAGAGGACGCAGGAGGCAGGAGGAGCATGGGGAATGGGGGGAGGAGGCATAACGAGGAGGAGGAAAAGGAGGAGGAGGAGGAAAAGGTGGTGGTGGTGGTGGAGGAGTCAAGAGGCGGAGGCAGGGGTTGAGGCAGGAGGAGGAGGAGGAGGCAGGAGGAAAAGGAGGAGGCAGGAGTAGGTGGGAGAAGCGAGGGTGCAGGAGGAAATCCCCAGGCAAGCTAAACAGATTCTCATGTGGGGTCCTACCGTCGGAGTAATTTTCACTAGCTGCACATATGCAAAAGCTGTTGTTGTTGGTTGTCTCTCTCTCTCTCTCTCTGTCTCCCTTTCTCGCTCCCTCTCCCTCTCTATCTCTCTCTTTGTCTCTCTTCCCCTCTCTCTCTCTCGTTCTGTATGTGTATCCATGTGCTGCTCTGTGTGTGTGTGTCTGTGTGTGTCTGTGCGTGGCTGTGTGGCTGTGTGTCTGTGTGTGTGTTTGTGTGTGTGTGTGTGTGTGTCTGTGCGTCTCTTTGTGTGTCTGTGTGTGTCTCTGTGTGTCTGTCTCTGTGTGTGTGTCTGTGTGTGTGTCTGTGTGTGCGTCGCTGTGTGTGCCTCTGTGTGTGTGTCTCTGTGTCTGTGTGTGTCTCTGTGTTTGTCTGTGTGTCTGCGTCTGTGTGTGCGTGTCTGTGTGTGTGTTTCTATGTGATCGTCTGTGTGTATGGCTATGTGTGTGTCTGCGAGTGTGTGTCTGTGTATGTGTGTCTGTGTGTGGGGGATGTGTGTGTGTGTGTGTCAATCCGTGTGTGTCTGTGTGTGTGTCTGTGTGTGTCTGTGTCTGTGTGCGTCTGTGCTTCACATTGCCAGCAAAATATCCTCACACCCCTCTCTTGAAACTGCCAACGGAATATCCTCACACCAATCGCTTGAAACAGCCAGCGAAATATCCTCCACCCCCCTATTTTAAAATGCCAGCGAAATATCCTCACACCCCTCGCTTAAAATTGCCAGCGAAGTGTCCTCACCCCCTGGCGCAAAGCTCCCAGCGAAATATCCTCCACCACCACCTTACTTGAAACTGCCAGCGAAATATCCTCACAACCCTCGAATATAATTGCCAACGAAATCTCCTCACCCCCTGGCCTAAAAATGCTTGCGAAGTATCCTCAACCGTGGCATTAAAGCTGCAAACGACATATCCTCACACCCCGCGAACAGAACTGGCAGCGAAATATCCTCAACCCCGTGACTTAACACTTCCAGCGAAATATCCTCACACACCCCGTTTGGAACTGCCAGCGAAATATCCTCGCCGCCCCTGCTGGCCTAAAACTGCCAGCTAAATATGCTCACCCCCCTGAACTTCAAACTGCCAGCGACATATCCTCAACACCCTGGCCCAACAACTGCCAGCGAAATATCCTCACCCCCGGCAGTAAAACTGCCATCTAACGGTTTTGGTGATCAGTCAATCAGTCAGTCAGTCAGTCAGTCAGTCAGTCAGTTTACTTTCCGAAAATCAGATTACAGGATCTCACCGTAAAAAACCGACGGCGAATCAATGTTTTGGGCATTTCTTGGGGGGCCTCTTGGGGCGTCTTGGAGGCCTCTTGGGCCGTCTGGAGGCCATCCTCGGCGTCTTGGGCCGACATTTGGGCGACTCGGGGCCCTCCTGGACCGTCTTGGGGGCCTTTTAGGGCCCTCTTGGCCCGTCTTGGGGGGCCTCTTGAGCCCCAAAAGTCAATCATGCGACAAGCCGCGGGGGAGCCCAGAGGGCACGCCGGGAGCCCTGGCAGATGCCGTAATTTGGGGTCCGGGCTCTCTTAAGACTCCGTAGGACTGAGGACGGAGGCCCCAGGGATTAGGAGAAGGACCTGAGGACACGGGAGTACGAGGCGGCTGGGTCCACCCCTGCTCAGCAGATGTTCTGTTGAGAGTTCCCGAGCAGGTGCGAGTGCCAAGTGCCCAGCTCCTGCCAGGGGCCACCACTGCCGGGCGATGGGCGAGCGAGAGAGGCCCCGGGCCACGCGTACGGGGCGCTCAGGGGTGTTTGCCGGCTGCTCCCAGCCACCGTGCGGTGTTGCGCCTTCGTTCTGAATCAGCAGCGCCTCTCAGGCGCGCATCGGCGATGCATCGCCGATGCAGTCGGCCCGTACCAGAGAAAAGGACGCGCGACAAGGGTGCAAGGGCCTTGGGCGCCCATGTCGAAGCTTTGTCGAGCGGGACGCGGCCAACGAAAGTGGCCAAGGATGGACCGAGGAGGACAGGATGCGAGGCTACCCTTGGGACAAGTGCCTCTCCTGTAGTGTTGCTCCCGGCCGTCCGTCCTCCCACCCCTGCGTCATTGATGTTGCGTTTGCTCCCCCACTCACGAGTGCCGCCGCCGCCTCCCCCTCCCCTTCTCGCACAGCAGAAACCCATGCCAACAAACACCCTGCATGCCTCCAAGGTTCCCTGGGCTTCCTTGGTGTCGATGGTCTTGCTACGGAAAGCGTGATGTCCCGACACCAACAACCGATGGACGTCCTGGGGTCTCAGGTTTGGGTTTCTTGTGGAAGGGTTCTTTCTGTCGAGCTCCTATTGTCTTTTGCTGTCGAGCGATCCCACCCGAGAATGTGAGGCAGGATCCACAAGGAGCGCCGGCCCCCTTTGGGCCTGCGGCGGCAGCATGCAGATGTCATTCGTCGAAGAGGCGCGAGCCCCAGAGAGCCCCGGCATACTTTGGGCCTGGCTTTGCCGCGGTGCACGGTGTGCGAGGCGGATCGGGTGTTTTTTTTATGCCAAAAATCAAACAATCCACCTTGTCGGGTGGAGAATAAGCCGGGCTGAAAAGTCAGCTTTGGGAGAGAGGTCGAAAGGTCAGGGGGGTCTTGCGTCGAGAAAGTCTGAGCGCCGAATGTCTGGGAGTCAAGCAGTGGCCAAGCGTCTTGTGCCGCCTATAGGTCCACCAAAGAATGTCCAAAGGAATTGCTGTCGTTTGCACGAAATTGTATTAAGACATTTCTCTCTGGGACCGTCTTGTTTTAGCACACAGGCTTTATGTTCTAAGAAGGTTGTTTTTGTGATTGTGGCAGGCCTGTGGGAATGCGGGACGGTCGGTCCTTGATCAAGGGAGGGGAGTAGCCCATCGAGAGCTTGAGCTGCTCGGCGGCGACCTGGGCTCCGCCTCGCTGCTTCCAGATCTGGCGCGAGCAGCCGTAGTTTCCTGTGTCTCACCACGAGGCGCCCAGCATGCGAGGGCTGAGCCGGATTCGGGCGAATGGGTTCTTTGCAAAGGGGGTGTCGAAATTGAACGCAATAGTTCGTACAATCTTTCGTGCAGGATGCGCACGTCGTACAATATCAGCACGTGGCTGCCACGCGCCATGCGTCACAGGATTATTGCAGTGTGTTTGCGACCGATTCCGAAAGGCCCCCTTTGCCCAGAACCAACTGAGCCAACCCAGCGCCACAAGAGGCACGCAGACGAGTGCGGTTCGTAGACCGGCCCTGCCCAACCGAGGGCACCCTTGTGTCCGATGCCTCGCTTCTCCTTGCCTTCTGCATCCCGGAAGCAGCGGTGCAGTGCTGCCGGGGCCACGTTGCCATCGGCAGAGTCCCGTGCCCTCTCGCGTGCCCTCTCCGATCGAGCTCCTCGCTCGCCATGCGCCCGCGCGGCGCCCCCACGCAGGGCTGGCCCGACCACCTGCTGCACCTGTCGAAGGGCAACGTTGTGCGCGCCTGCCCGTTCAGCGAGGCCGCGGGGCGGGGGGGTCCGAGCATTTTCTTCGGGTGGAGGGCAGGGGGTGAAATTCGAGATGCCGTTTCGACTGATGTTCGAGGCCTGAATCTGCAAAAGGTGAATCTCAAGACGGATTGAATTTGGAGGTGCAAATGCCCATACAGTCGGGGCGCAGAGGAAGGAACTCTTTCCGTTGGGTAGGGGTTCCGTGTGCCTTAGTTGTTCTACAGTTTGGCCCACGTTTTCCTTAGGTTTTCGAAGGGGAGTCGAAGTTCAACTTCTGGAGGAAAGGGGCCTCGTTCCTTATTCAGGGTTCCTTAGGAGGTCAGCTCCCCGACTGTATGGATTTCACCCTTAGCCCTCCACCCTGAGAAAATGCTCAGGGTTTGGGGTGCGCGCCTCTTCGCCAGGGCTTCCGGGCAGGCTCGCGGCGCCTCGACGCGCGGCGGCGGCGCTGGCGGGGGCATTCATTACTCGAAGGGCAAAGTCGGAAACTGTAGCATATACATTACCAGTGGCGGGTGTTTTTTTTCGATCCCACGACTTTTCGACGGTCGGGGACGACGTCGTGGTGGTAAGGTGTATACCGTTCCCCCGCTTTCCCAGGGAAACAACGGAACATGTATACACCAGGATCCCGTATACACCAGGATCCGCGTTCCTCTGCAAATTTCAGCGCAGGGTCGGAAACTGCGTCGGTGTGTAGATTTCGCTGCCCTACACATTGATTTTTAAGTCGGGCATGTCCCTCCACAGGGGGAACATTCAAACATAAACAAAAATTATTCCGACGGGAAGACCCCACATGAAAATCCTTTTGGCGAATCTGGAAAGAACCTTCACTATCGTTCTCGCGATTAGTGAGGCGCCCTTGTTGTCTTCTCTGCGTCATTCTCATTCTCGCCCTGGCGCAGGGCCCTCACCCGCTCCCCGCGTTGCCCTTGCCTCGCCCTCCTGCTGTTTGTTTCGTCACCCACCACCTCCTCTCCTGTTGCAAGAGCGCGCGCGTCGATTTTCTTCGACGCCGTCGCCGCCACGGCCAGCGCGGGCGCATTCTCGAATGGCCGCGTCGCGCGGCCGTTGGGACAACCCCGCGGGCCAGGCCGCTGGGGCAACCGCGCGAGCCGCTGGGGCGCGGGAGCAAGCCGTTGGGACAACCCCGCACACCGAGCTAGTCAGTGCCGCGTTCAGGCGGGAGGCAGCACGAAGCCAAGCCTTTCGGCGAGGTGTTCGGCCTCATCCCTGGAGCTCTCTCATCGAACTGCTCGAGCGCCTTCCGCAAGGACGCCGGCGGCCCGCGCTCCAGAAATTCCCGCGTGGGCGGCCGCAGGATCAGCATGTTCCGCATGCGCGTGGCGCGGGAGAGCATGACGTAGAGGTGCAGCCACCACTGGTCGTCCGACATGCCCGTGCGGCCAGTGTCCCCGTCCCTCGCGCAGTCGATGGTGACGCCTTTGCGGAGCGTCTGGCCTTGCGACATCATGGAGGTGAGGTAGGACGCGTGAGCCAGAGTGAACCCCGAGCGGCGCACGGTGTGCGGCCCCGAGCTCTGCCACGTGAACTCTTGCTCGCTGGGCCTGAACATCAGCAAGCTCCGAGCCCGTGCCTCGGCCTGGCCGTCGTCGGCGTCTTCGGCGCCCTGTCGCGGCACTTCGGCGACCTCCTAGTAGATCGGAGACTCCTGGGAACCGTGCGCCTGCAGCCAGATTCCCTGCGGTAGGAAGCGGGGGCGAAAGAGCTGGCCTGCCGAGCATTTTTTCGTGCCGCTGCTCGTCCTCGCGGTGGAATTCGGAGGACGCGACGGTGGCCCGTCGCTCCGGCACGAGTCCCAACTTCTGCTTCAGCTTTTCCTGCGCTGCCGCGGATCGCTCTTCCATGCCGACGCGGGCAGGCAAGACGCCGTGGATCCCCCCCGACTTGTGCATGTTCGGGACGTTCAGGAGGCGCCGCGCCGACCCGCGTCGGGATCGCCCTGAATCGCGCTGCACTCGTCAACGGCCTGCAAAAAAACGAAGGGGCACGCCCAGGCGCCGTGCGTCGCGACGAGCGCGCGTGTTGATCCACCTCGTCAGGGTCTCCCAGTAGATGCCCATGCCGTAACCCTGGGAAGCAAACAGTAACCCCCCCGGCGATATCGTTAGCACAGAAAATAAAATAACTAATTATTTTGGGCGGCGCCCTCCGGCGATATCGTTAGCACAATAAAAAATATAATAAAATAATTTATTAATTTGCCCCCCCCCCAGGCCCGAAGCTGGCGGCAACGTGAGGCGACAGCCTGAAGAACCAATGCGCACGAACGTTTCCCAATGGGTTCCCGCCTAGAACACAGGGAAACTGACGCGCATCGGAAATCAAAGGTACATCAAAAACGACAAACAATGAAATCACCGCAAGCAGCTATACTTGAAAGGACCCCCCAAAGGAATCCCAGAGGAATCTCAGAAGGAAGCCCACGCAGAATCTCAAAGGAATCCTATTGGAAATTCATCGCAATCTCAAAGGAACCCCACAGAAATCGCAAAGGGATCTCAGCGGCAGCTCAAACGAACCACGAAGGAATCTAAGGAATCTGGAAAACGCGGGCTCACATGGACATAAGCAATCCCTATTGCGACGGCCCTAGGAAAATTGATTATTTCAGGGGATCCTATGGGAGAGTCCACGGTGAGATATCGCAGACGGATTCCGCGAACCCCCCCGCGATATGTTAGCACATGTATTGAAAATCGAATAATCCACAAGCGCCGGAGGTCGATGTGATGTTCCCTTCAGGGATTGTCGAAGGAATGTCAGAGGAACTTGAAAGGACCCCCAAAGGAATCCCAGAAGAATATCACAAATAATCCCACGCATGATATCAAAGGAACCAATGGAAGTTCAAAGCAATCTCAAAGGAACCCAACAGAAATCGCAAAGGCATCTCAGCGGCAGCTCAAACGAACCACGAAGGAATCTAAGGAATCTGGAAAACGCGGGCTCGCGTGGACATAAGCAATCCCTATGGCGACCGCACTAGGGAAATTGACTACTTCAGGGGATCCTATGGGAGAGTCCACGGAGAGATATCGCAGACGGATTCCGCGAACCCCCCCGCGATATGTTAGCACATATATTGAAAATAGAATAATCCACCGGCCCCAGATGTCGATGTGATGCCCCCTTAAGCAATGGGGCATCAAAGGGATATGACCGGAACCTCAAGGGACCCCCAGAACAACATCAAAGGAACACCAGAGGAGTCTCAAAGGAGCCCCAAAATAATCACAATGGAAACGGCAAGGAATCTCAAAAGAAGCCAATCGGAGTATCAAAGGAATCTCCGGGGAATCTTACAGAAACGCACAGAATCACAGGAAGCGACTCTGGGCAGGTGTGCCTTGTCGCTGGGCTCGGGGGAACAAAGGGACCGGGCATTCAGAGGCTTGTCGAAGCCTTTCTGGATGCCTCCTGGGAACCTCCGGGGACCTCCCCTCCGCGGACCTCTGGTGACTTGCGGGGGATATCGCTTCCGCCCCGGCCCCGGTGCCAGAAGCGCTATAATTTCCTCTGATGGGGGGGGGGGGGGGGTACTGATTGCTTCCCAGGGTTAGCCGAGTCGAAAATTCTCGTGCTGGTGCCGAGGGTCCAGGACGCCGCGATTGTCCGAGGCCAACGTCTTTTCCCGGGTGGACCAGACCTCTGGTGGGAAGGGCTTACCTTCGCGCGTTCAGCCCAGGAGCGTGATCATAGGGTCCCCGAGCTCGAAGCGCTTCGTGCCCTTCAGCTCGAAGACGCAGGGGATCTGAAAGAAGACCTTGATGGCGTGCTGAATATCCACCGACGGTGGATCCGCGTACTTATGCAATTCGTCGTCCTGGAGCTCGTTCGCGTCCGTCAGGAGGCCAATGCTGCCGGTGGGCTAGCAGCAGGAAGTCGCCGAGGTGCAACACGATGGGGACGCGCCCGGAGTGGTGGCGCGGCCGCTGGTAGGTGGACTCCTGCATGTCGTGCGTGTCACTGCGTCCGTGGCACGCGCGATGGCCCAGCTCGTTGTACAGTGCGGCTGCAACCACGCTTATCTCCTCGATGGCAAAAACGCGGACGTGCCCCCACAACCATTTCAACCTCTTCTGCATGCCCCCCGGCCGCAGTTTCGCGTTGAAGTACTTCGGGGCTCGCATGGCGCAGGCGTTGTGCAGCGTTTTGGCTCTGACAATCTCCGTGGAGATGATCTTCGCCTGCGCGTTCGAGAAAGCAACGACCATCATGTAGGCCCTGTCCGCCGCCGGCGAGGGCCACACTTCTTCTACGACTGAGAAGACGATCTTCTGCACCACGTGCGTTTTTCTGGAGACGCCCTGGCCCAACAGGAGCAAGTGCGCCACCTTTCTCTCGCTCCAGGGTTTCTTCTGCACGTCGCCCTCCCAGGTTTCGTCGCAGGCCTTGGCGGATTTGGCGACGAAGAGCGTCTGGTCCCGCGCGAGTCTCTGGTCTTCCGGCAAATCAGCGACCAGTTGTGCAATCTACACGCTGGGCGTGGAATACACCCCGTCCTTGAACATGGCCGCAGCGGGTCAGTGCCCAGGCCGCCTGCGCCCTCGTCTGCGCCGTCGTCGACGCCCGCGTCATCCTCGTTGCCATTGCCCTGCAGGCGGTCGTCGTGCAGCCTCGCCCCGGAGTGTCTCTCTTCGCGCGCCGCAGTCACCAGCGATCGGTGCCCGGCCGCGGGCGCAGGAACGGTCGCGGCGTGTGCTGGCGCGGGCGCGCCCACGTCCTCGCGGACCGCCTCGGACATGCACGGGACCGCGAGGAGTTCCTCGGCCAACTTCGTAAGGCGCTTGCGGCGCGCGAAGTCCAGCACGTCCGCCATGTCCTGCCCCCCGTCGCTGCCCCACGTCGGCACCGGCTGGAAGGGCAAGTGCGCTTGGACCGCCGATGGAGGCGCGCCCGGGTGCTCCACCCACGCCCTCGCCCGCCTCGGCGCCTTCGTCTTCACTGGGGCCCCAGAGCGACGACAGCTACAGGGTTGAGGA